ATATTTATATTTTCTCCTTGAGCTATAAGCATCTGTTTATTTTCTTCTCTTATTTTCAAAGAAAAGTTTTGATATGGCTGAGGAAAAAAAATGTTTTTCTTTAATGAGATCTTGTTAATAAAATTACAAATTAAAAGGTAGTGGCATAAAAATATAGTGGTATGCCTCTTTGAACCTTTTAAATAGTCTCTATCTCTGAAAAGTAAGCAGGCTAAGGTGTCAGGCTACCAGCCCATATATCTGAAAAAGGACATACACACCGTGTACCGAGAGCCACCACAGTCTGCAGGTGAAAGACTTATCATTCATTCCTACGATTTAACTGGATTACAATTTAACAAGGATTTATCACGTGTTTTCCATGTACTAAGCACTATGCCATTTGCAGGGGATAATGATGTAAAATTCATCTGAGAAGTTTGATTACATTTTCCTAGATTACATTTTCCTATAAGTCCCTTGGTGGATGGATGAGCTCCACAGTTTTGCCCCTAATCATAAATTTAGCAATTGGACTGATCTTTAGAGGTCGTCCAATCTAACCTGTCGATTCATTAAAAATAAATAAATGTGCTAGAGATTCTGTTCTTCAGGACTTCACCATCTAGTGTGGGAGGCAATATTTTTTAAAGAAATAACATGAAATAAAATTAAAAGCATTTACTCATTGGGTATATGAATAGTTCATCTGTCTGCCTCTGGAGATGGATTCATCTACCTCTGCGATGTAACAGAGGGAGAGTGTGACCAGTATGGAGCTCAGAGGCAGAGTATTCAACTTCACCCGGGATGATCCAAGGCAGGAGAGGACATTTGAGCTTGCTTGCTTTATTTATTCTACAGTTATCTATTATCTCCTGCATGCTAAGAACTAGGGATAGGAAATACTAGGACATAGTACCTGTTCTCAATTAAGTTACAGTTGATCTTCATAATCTGCAGATTTCATATTGCAAATCCACCTATTCACCAAAATTTATTTGTAACTCCAAAATCAATTGCACACGGCACTTTTGCAGTCATTCGTAGACATGCAGAGAGGGACATTTGAGTTACTTAACACACACACATTCCCAGCTGAGATCGAACAAGGAGGCGCTCTGCTTTCCTGTGGCAGCTCTCGTACCATAAACACGTGTCCTTTTCACAGTCTGCTTTGTGTCACATTTTCCATGTTTTTTTGCTATTTAAAATGATCCCCAGTCAAATGGATGAATGTGGTCAAAAGGTTGAAACTTCCACTTATAAAATAAATAAGTTCTGGGGATGTAATGGACAGCATAATGACTACGGTTATCAATACTGTATCATAGATTTGAAAGTTACTAAGACAGTTATCACACACACAAATGGTAAGTATGTGTGGCGATAGATGTTAATTAAACTTATTCCGATAATCATTTCACAACATACACATGTATCAAATTATTATATTGTACACCTAAAACTAATACAATGCTAAATGTCAATTATACCTCAATTTTTAAAACTAAACAAATAAAATGGTCCCCAAGTGTAGCGCTGAAATGCAGTCTAGTGTTCTCAGTGCAAGAAGCTTGCGATGTGCTTATTGAGAAAATACAAGTGTTAGATAAGTTTCCCTTAAGCATGAGTTATAGTGCTGTTGGCCATGACTTCAGTGTTAATCAATCAATGATTCGCTACATTCAGAAAAAGACAGGAAATTTATTGATCTATATGTGAGTCTGCTCTGGAAAATACTAAAGTAACATCTGTAGTACATGTTGAAGTTATGGAAAAGTGGCTGAACTTATGAATTCATGAAATGACAACTAATTTTTTTAAAAAAGCATAGTGGATAGCATCGTGAGGCTGAAGGCAAAGAAATTTATGGTAACATTACCCAGGGTCAGGAAAATGTTAAGCTTTTCTCAGATCGGGTTTTATGATACAGAAATGTTGCAAATAATTAATTGTTTGTAAGAAACATATATTAAATTAGGTGTCTTCAAACAGAAACATACATGAATCGAGTTTATGTATTGACCTATTGGTGCAAATGCTGTGACCGAAGGCCCACGGGAGCCTAACCCCATATTTCCTCTTAGAGCAATGGCTCAGTATTTGCCGATTTGATGTTCACAGTGAGTTTATAGAGACACTACAAACAATAGAGACGCCATTGTTTATGCAGTATGGGAAAGAGATGAAAGTCCAAACTCAAGGACAGAAAGGATGGGAGAGATACAAGAGATATTTAAGAGGTGGGTCTGACAGGACATGGCATTTGATGAAGGTGTCAGAGTGTGTCAAGAATGCATACTGCTGGGATGACTACATGAGTCAGAAGAGGGACTACGGAAGGGAACATGGGTGGTTGGGTGGAGCAGGTTTAGAAGATAAATGACTTCAGTGTGGAAATATCAAACCTGAGGTAGCTGTGGACTACCCCCATGTATCACAGGGTGCCTTCTAGATGGAGATGTATGGAAGTCATTGTACTTCCACATGTATCTGGGGTTCAGTAGAGGACCAAGCAGTGTGCATGAAACAGCTGCTGGCATGTGAGTGATCAGTGAAGTTGATATCTCCCACAGAAACACATAAATTAAGTTAGGATGTATGATGGAGATGGCACTCTGGGGAATACCAGCTTTTAGAAGTAGAGATGGACAGAAAAAGAAAGAAGACATATTTGTTTCTTTAATACTGTTAACTGAGTACCTGCAGGTGCCACATACTGTGCGAGGTGTTGTGGGTTAGAGAAAGCTGAGGCAGGCTTAGAAGCGGTCAGCTGGGAGTCAGGGAGACAGGTAGCTGGAGCTTGGAGGGTGGACACAATTTGGGTTTCCCAGATAAAGGAATTAATGAGCAAAACGGCAAAGCTAGAAAATCAGGAAATAGTGAGCAGCTCATTCTCATTAGAATATAGCGTGTGCGCACGCAAGAGAGAGAGAGAGAGAGAGAAAGAATGAACATGATAGGTTGGAATTAAATTATAAATGGGCTTTGAAAGCTGAAATATGAAGTTCAACAACAGCAGCCTCTGATGAGTTTTGAGCAAAGGGATTCTGCAGTCAGAGCTGAACACGAGGATGTATTCTCTAGCAGATACACATACAAACGGTATTGCCGAGAACCAGCAAGAAGTAAGGGGGCCTGAACTCAGGGAGTCACCATAGAAATACAGTGGAGGGAATAAAAGCAAGTGATCGTATATAAAGGAATTCGTGGGACTTGACTGGCAGGCACTGATGGGTTCTAAGTCAATAAAAAGGGAATCCAGGTTTTGAGCCTGTATAGCTAGGAAGCAAGTGAAGCGTTTACTAAAATTAGTCTGTAAGAATATGAATCTGAAAGCCCTTGTACTTGAGGGAAAGAAGAATATAACCATGAAAGCAAGAGAGCAATGTCACTGATTCCTCCTCCTTTGTGACCTGCCCGTGGGCTGTATTACTGTGGCCTCAGTTCATGAGGCTTCACATTGTAGACTGAGAGTAAGGTCAAGTCAGCTAAACACCTGCATTTCTCCATTCTATGGTTTGCTTTGTTGTTGTTTGTTTTTGTTTAATCCTAAACTAGAACTCGGTTTTCATCTGTTGGCATTTCACCTGGTTGGGTTTTACCCCAACATTCACCTTGGTTGAGCTTATTTTAAACTTTTCTTTGTCTTCCCTGAAGGTAGCTGCTTTGGTTTTGTCTAAGAAGCAGCCCGTGCCTCTCATATTCACTGATACAGTGAAAGATAGAGGGGCATCTTTCCAGCCTCTTTACGAGTTCTCCTCTGATATAGATGACCTTGAGATAGCTAAGAAGATCAGAAAATAGGGACAGAGTAAGGGGAGGGAGGAAGCGGGGACCAGCTCCTAGGTGACTGCACTGCCAGGTCCTACGAAGGACTCACTAGGACTCCACTGTAGGCCCCCTCAGAAATCCCCTTGAGACTGCCTAAAGCTGCTTCTTCCTGGATCCGCTCCTGGTGTTTGTGGAAAGGCTGTTTTTAAAAATCTTCTACCTCTCCTTAGGGATATAGTAACCTGTGGCCAGGACCAGCCACATAATTTACTGGGACCCTTCTTCAAAAAATTTTAAGAATTTCAAGATGGCAGCATCAGAGCACTGAACGAAGTGCAGGCTCCTCTGGAGTATGGGGGCCCTGGGTGACCTGTGAGGTTACGCTCCCATGAACCCCGCCAATGGCTGAGTGTCAGTGCTTCGTGAGGTGGGATTTTACTGCACATCCACACTTCATCCTGGGTGTGGGCGCACACAGCCACCTGACAGCACCCTCATCCCACCCTGCACGCCTTCCACCTGCTCATAAAAGTTTTTCCACACCCTCTGCTCAGCTGCTCCCAAGCCTGTTCGAACAATTTCCCCAAAAAGACTCCTCTCTAGAGAAGGAGTCTCATTCTGTTTCTCCACTTAATTCACTCCACCTCCTCTCTCACTGTCTTTTTTTAGGCTTCAATAAAATAGATGTTGACCTTTTGAGTGAGATTTGAATATTCTCACACAGTCACAGGAGCCACAAAATGAAAAAGGTGAAGGGATGTCTTTTATTTGACGTGAGTGTTAAGATGCAGTTCCAGTGAGAAGGGTAACCCAGGGAGTGGCTAACAGTGGAGATTTTCTTCCTGGAAAGAAAGGTCTGGGGTCAGCCTGGGACCTCGTTATACTTGCAAAATCCCACTTGACAACAGTCCTGCTCTTTAGCAACATGAATATTCCTAGATAAGGAAACTGAAGCCCAGAGAAGTTAAATGACTTCTCAAGGTCACACAGCTAGAAAATGGCACAATCAAAACTAGGACCCACACCTTCTGATGCAGAACCTGCCCACTCTCCTCTACATACACTGTGGACGAGCCCAGTCCTTCCATCTCATCAGGACTTCTGTCTACACTGGGGCATTTTATAAACCAAAGCTTAAGCAGCTTCCATTCTATGTGTATGTAAAAGAAGCAACTATGATTTCTGCTTTCCTCCAAAAGTAATAACTTTCCACCGAATTTTTATTTCTCGTTCTGACTCTTCAGTGACAACCCTGCTACCCAATTTAACCTCAAGACTCACATGAATTCCCAAGATCTGAAGGCAGCCGTAGAAAAGATTACCCAGAGAGGAGGGCTGTCTAATGTAGGTATGTGATCAGATTCGAAGCATTCTATCTTGCTACCATGGTTCTCTTTCTACATGATGGTCTTCTAATATTCCATATAGGAGGAGGAAATAATAATCCATCCAGAAATGACTCACCCTATATCTGTATCTTTTCTAAAGTATTGTCATAGATTCAGGGGGCAAGAATCATCATCACACATATGCTGGAGAGTTCCAACATGCCTGATTCCTTGGGGATAAGCAGGACCACCATTGTGACTGTTTCCTGGTTGGTCTACAATCATCAACTATTTAACGTTAAGCTTCCTAACCAGTTCCATTTGGAAAGCCCCACAGTGCCTCTTGGTAATCTTGCTCTAATCAGCTCCTGTTACAGTGATGACTATACCAAAAAGTACATGTTCTTTGCTTTGAACTGAGTCTCCTGTGAGGTCTGAGCCTTGGGGGAACTGCAGTTCCATTTGGAAAGTCCCACAGTGCCTCTTGGTAATCTTGCTCTAATAAGCTCCTGTTACGGTGATGACTATACCAAGAAGTACATGTTCTGAGTCTCCTGTGAGGTCTGAGCCTTGGGGGAACTGGGACGCCAGAAATCCAAGGTCTAGTCTTCAGCTGGCAGTTCCAGAAACTTCATTTTATCATTTCACTCAGAGGTAACTGGGCATTAAGAAACAGTTTCACGCTAACCAAGCTCAAAGGCTGGCAATGAGCTATGCCCATGTATAAATTTATAAATCGTAGTCTGGCTTTGGAGACCCAGGAAGGGCTGATTGTCCACTTCCCAGGGAACCTGTCTCTACCATCGAAGTCCAAGGAAATGGAGAAGTGAGCCACAGGCACTTGGCATGGAGCACATGCAGGAAGATTCTAGGCTGTTTTCAAAGGTGGCTTCTAAAGGCTTCCTGCAGACCCAGGACCTCCAAGGACCTGCCTCTTTCGAGATCAGGAAATCACTTTCTTAACTCTGCCACCATAGTCTCTTCAGGAATCTGCTTCAGCCAGGAGGCCACCATGATCAGGAAGCTTCTGATACAGTTGCCAGCTCCAAAACTATGCCTTGCCTGCACCATTCACACCCACAAAACAAATGCTCTGCATCTCACCACCTCGGCACCAACAAAGCTAGTGACCAAACAGAGGTGTCTGTGCTTACACTGCCCCAGAGGAGTCAAATACTCTACAGATACCTGTCAGCAGAATCAAAAGTACAGTCCCTGCCTCACTTTCATCTTCTAAATCTCATGAACCTGCATCGATTCATGAAACTAAAAGAAATCCAGAACTGTGACTGCGAGGGAGTCTCAACAATGTAGTTTTCAGATTCCAGCCTCTGCTTTCAAGACATGCTGGATGGTGGATGGAATGTGTTTTGAGCACTAATTGACCATGACCTCCAAATTTAGGATTGGATGAAGTCAAGGTGATCTTATGGTTCCCTGTGCTCAGTCTACAGGCATCTCATATTAAACCAGGGGGGACTACTGGGTGCCTTGGGCCTTGGGGGAAATTATCCCTTGGCTATAAAAGCAGTTCTCAGCAGCCAGGGTTTTCCTTTAGCAACTGTGTTCTACACAGCCAGGTCACATGGGTTCTCCAAGACATTTCTCCAGCAACTGCATATGTTACCTTTTGATTCCTTCATTTGACGGGTAAGATTATACTAGCCAGTGGAGCCAGGATGCTGGCCCAAACCAGAAAAGCATTAAGTGTAATGACATTAACCCTAGTCTTAAGAAGGTAGTTCTTAATTTTTATTTAGATCGAGGACTCCTCTGAGAATCTCCTGCAGGCTATTACCCTTCTACCCAAATAGATACTTATACACACAAAACATTGTACAACTTCAGAGGACTTATGAATACACATCCCCAGTGCCCCAGAGGTCCACAGAAGCCAGATTAGGGTCCCTGTCTTACTGTAGGCAGCTATGCTGACTCTAGGGTGACCAGTCATCACAGTTTGCCCTGGAGCATATGAGTCTTTCAATGCTAAAACTGGGGAAGTCCTGGCAAACTGGGACAGTTGGTCACCGCCGCTGAGTCAGAAAATTCCCCGAGACCCCAGGCAGTACAAAATGTGTGCTTGGGAAAGGAATGCTGGAGGCTTCATTATACCTCACAGCAGTACTCTCAGCAGAGAAAGATTGTTGTCATGGAAATCTAGGCACAGAGACGTGGAGTGAAATACCTAGGCCACATAGCCAGTAGGTGGCATGGCCAGGGCTAAAACATAGTCTCTCAGTTCTTAGTGGGAACAGCGCCTCCCTGGCCAGCCAAATCTGTGCCCTAGCATAGAACTGAACAAAAGGTACCACTGAACCCTGGATCCTGCCCTCCACACCCAGCAGCTCCTGGAGCACCGGGCTCACCCCAAGCTGCAGGGGCCAAGCAGAGGCTCCTATCACTCCAGGTCAACTCCTCCTGCCCCACGCTCTCAGAGACAAGATGGGGCCAGCTTAGGGGCTGAGTGTGGTTCCAGCACCCAAGCAGAAAAGGGACCCCTTTTGTTCCCATGAGAGTCATTCTCACCTGCTTGCTGGTCCCTAAAGCTTTTTTTTTTTTTTTTTTTAATGTGAGAGAATTAGATGTTTGAGGCTTAAAGTGATACTGGAGAAGGAAATGGATAGTGGTGGCGGCTGCACGACACCGTGAAGGTACTCAAAACCACTGAACTGTATACCTAAAAACAACTGATGTGGTAAGCAAAGAAACTAGCAAGGGAGAGACTGAGAGTGTTTTCCTGAACCTCTTCTTGCTGCTGTGATCTAGTCCTATAATTGTAATCAGCATAATCACTCTAAGCATGATTTTTCTTTCAGGCCGGGCCATCTCCTTCGTGACCAAGAACTTCTTTTCCAAAGCCAATGGAAACAGAGGCAGCGCTCCCAATGTGGCTGTGGTGATGGTGGACGGCTGGCCCACAGATAAGGTGGAGGAGGCTTCAAGGATTGCAAGAGAGTCAGGAATCAACATTTTCTTCATCACCATTGAAGGTGCCGTTGAAAATGAGAAGCAGTATGTGATGGAGCCCAACTTTGCAAACAAGGTATGAAACTGCCCAGAGACCCACCAACACAAGGATCCCCTGCACTTTGCAGCGTTGCAACAGCCTCCCAGGCCATGTTTCTCATTCCTTCAAATGGGTGTTAAGCTCACTTCTAGGCAAGACAGCCTCCAGTGCGGGACTAGTACGTCTGGAACCTGGAATGACACTCTCAAAGCAAAACCCCACAGGTACCTGGTGAACTGAGGCCAGCACCTTGGAAGGAGCAGAGTCGCCAGGGTCTCACATAGAGGCTCTTCCAAGCTCCTCTCACAGTGCAAGGGGCCTCAACCAGGCTGCCCAGTGAGCCTTCACACGAGCATGCATATGGGCACACATACACTTGCTCACACACGCATGTGCACATGTGCACCCTGCAAATTAACCAATTGATAAACAAGGACAAGGGGACATTGAACCAGGTCAGAGAGATCATGTTTTCAAACACACTCCTGCGCACTTACTGTGATTTGCACGGGTGCCCTGCGCTCAGCCACTGGTTTCCTGTCCACACCCAGCACCACCCTCTCTCCGCCCTGACTACGCTCGGCTGCCTGGTGGGGAGCCCTCCTCTCTGCCACTGGTTAGAATTCAGCTCAGCCTCGACACTCATCTCAAATGTCACCTAGTCCATGGAAAGTTCTGTGAACCCCATTTAGGGTTTCTCTAAACCAATTAAAAATATTTCCTAGGATACTTTTAAGTCATTTCTTATTTTAAAATAATTTTTTAATTAGACGAGTTCATCCGGAGTCATCAGGTCTGTGACCCCTGGAGAGGCAGTGGCATGGAGGAAACGTCACACTCGAGCAACACCAGCCCGGTCTCTTCCAGGGGCACACCGACCAGGCGGCTCGAAGTTATTTGCAGCTGCCTGACATTTTTCCTGGAACGAGCTTGGGCATAAGTAAATAAATACTCATTGCCTGAAGGCAGGGCTGTCTGGAGAACAATATTTGAGTTTCAAAGGCAGAGAGATTTGTGTTCCAGGCTCAGAGACTCAGGGATGTCCCTTCCCAGCTGGCCCTCAGTTCATTCCTTCATGACAGGGAGATTGTAATTCCAGTGCATAGGATGAGGGTGGGGATTTAATGCGAGAATCTCTCTAAGAGCATCTAGTGCAACACCTGACACACGTGTGGGACCTTTTCTCGCTGGGTACAGGGCTGCTCTGGAAATAGTACTTTAGCTATTTCTCGTGTGTGTCTTGTGTCTGCAGTCAAAACAAAAGCTTTCTCTAATCCTCTCAAGCGCTGGTGCTCACCAATGCCAATCGAATGGCTGGCTGTCAGCACAAATGAACTGAGGAATATGCAGAGGTATGAATATGAAGCTGTAAGCAGTGCTTCTTCATCTGTCCCTTTGGATTTGCTTAATGGATGGCTCTCCACTAAACAGACACCCAGCTGAGGGAGCGGGAGTGAGTCCAGAGATAACTTGAGGGGTTTCTGCCCCAGTGAGTGCCCAACTGGGTGAACTGAGATGAAGAAAAAGCTTTAGGAGGACTAACTAGTGCAGAAAACGAGAGTCTGTTTGCTTCTTCCCCTGGCCAAGGGTAATGGTGACAGACTGGAGAATTCACCCCCTGACCTAGTGGGCATCCCTCCCTCTGTCTTCCAGGCTGTGTGCAGGACCAACGGCTTCTACTCGCTCAGCGTGCAGAGCTGGTTCAGCCTCCACAAGACTGTGCAGCCCCTGGTGAAGCGGGTCTGTGACACCGAGCGACTGGCCTGCAGCAAAACCTGCTTCAACTCAGCCGACATCGGCTTTGTCATTGATGGCTCCAGCAGCGTGGGAACGGGCAATTTTCGCACAGTTCTCCAGTTTGTGGCCAACCTCAGCAAAGAGTTTGAGATTTCAGACACGGACACGCGCATCGGGGCTGTGCAGTACACCTACGAGCAGCGGCTGGAATTTGGGTTCGACATGTACAGCACCAAGTCAGACATTCTCAATGCCATCAAAAGGGTAGGCTACTGGAGCGGTGGGACCAGCACAGGGGCTGCCATCAGCTACGCCTTGGAACAGCTCTTTAAGAAGTCCAAGCCCAACAAGAGGAAGTTAATGATCCTCATCACTGATGGGAGGTCCTATGATGACATCCGAATACCAGCCATGGCCGCCTATCACAAAGGTAAGCTGGTCTTCTTGGCCAGTCTGGTGCTCGGCAGCCCTCTGCAGCTCGGTGGGCCGGTGGGCCAAGGAAGGGGCTGTCTTTTTTATGCATTGGTTTTGTCTACCACCAACTAGGATGTTCGAAACCACAGAGGGTATTATGAGGAGTATAATTAAACACTGAAGGCCCCTCTGAGCAATGAAGAAAGAACATGGCAGAGAGCACCAAGGTGTTTCATGCCCTGGCAAACACAAGGCCTGCGATGATGGGACTATCAACCCTCTCCTTTATGTCCTACTCCCTGAGTCAGTGCACGGGAAGGTGCGACACCTTGAAAAGGAATTTGACTCTTTAGTCTCTATTGAAGACCACCAAATTGTGTTTAAAATTTGAAGAAAACTGATATTTTCAAAGAAAAGTACTATTTTGGTAATTAGCAGCTAACTAGTTGTTGGGGGGTTAGGGAAGACCTCAAAGAAATGTTCGTTCAAAATATTTAAAGCGACATTTCCATATAAAAATTTATAAGAGGGCAACAGAGAGTTTAAAACCATGAAAAAAAGAACGAAATATTTTTATACATTTTTAGAAAATCAGTAACATTTAATGCCTCTGGCACAGAATCTATGTATAATGACTGTTTTGAAAAGCGTCATATCATGAAAGTACAAGCAACCTAAAGAAAACCTCAAGTGGTCCTAGTAATGATGATAACAAAAGTAAACCACGTAGTCAGCAAACACCAGCGTCCTACAGATAAGTGTTAATGAACAAGACTCACTCAGGGCAGGGGTAGTTTTCTTTCTTCTTCTTCTTCTTAATTTTGTTTGCAGTACCTCAGGTATTCTTTAAAGCTGCTTTTAACTCTTCCTGAAACAAGGAAGGATAAATATAAAAAAACGAGCCTTAAAACAAACAAGTAGTCCTGGAAACCAAAAGAACCAGACACCAGGTTCAGGCAGACATTTCCCAGTAATTTACCCCAGTGGAGCCTGTGGGGCATACTCATAATGACAGAATGGTAGATGGCCAGTGGGCCAGCAGTCACAACGTCCCTTGTGCTCACGTCAGCAGAGCGTAGATGGTTTAAGGCTCAGAAGCAACCTACCCAAAGTTCCAAAGTGAGTGCTCAGAGCCAAGGGGGCCCGCTCTTGACTGTAAGACTCCTCTGTTTTCTCCAAACATCTGTCCCCAGCTCATGTTCAGCTCCACTCTCAATTATTTTTCTAGATGTACCTCCTTTGGGCCTCACCCAGAGGGTGTCCTTGGCCTTCTCCTTGTCAAGAGAAGTGCTGACTGAAAAAGATGTTCTGGGAGCTACAGGGGCTGTCATATTCTGGGCAGCTCTAAGGAACTAGGACCAATAGATGCAAATTACATGGAGGCAAGGAGCATTGTGTCCCGGGAAGTGTCCGAGCCAAGGCTGGGTGAGCATCTGTCAGAATCACCAGTACAAGATTCTCCACAACAAGGATGAACTCAAGGATTTGAGAAACTATATTTCTAACAGTGTTTGCATTGTCTTTATTGAGCAGAAATAAGGGCTTAGTGTATGCCAGCCCCATTCTGCAGCAAGCTGTTACTCTGCCACTTGCCAGCCTTTTAAAGCCCAAAGCTGAATTTTCCCAGTGTAGACAATATTAAGAGGAGACACTGAAGAGGTAAAAGAAGAGACTAGCAGTATAAATGCAATTTAATGAGGCACAACCATGTGAGGTGTCGATGGCTCTCCGATCAGCAGGACAGGGCACTCAGACACTAGAGATAGTGACAAGCCACTGTGGGTAGTTGGGAGAGAGATGCCTGGGGAGGAAGGCTATACCCAGGCTCTGCCCTCTGTTTCACGGCCATCTTGCTCACCCTACTCTGGATAGTCTGAAGGTGGTGTGGATATAGTCTTTTGCAGAGTCAGGTCATGTAGCTGCTGACCAGATGCCCCCAACCCAAATCAAGAACCATAAACCAGGCAGTCTCCCAGTTTTCTCACTGAGAATAGATGCCTCGTCTCTGGATCTGCCCTCTGCTCCCTGGGGCATCCAGCTCGCTGTTGCAGTCTAACTCCTTTAATCCCACTCTACTCGTTCCCACTTGTATTTAGACATCCTCAAGTCTCTCTCCCTAAAAACTTTTTTTTTTTTTAAATCTCTTTGGCCCCACGTTCTGCTCCCGTTACCACCTGCTCCTCCCCCGTGCAGCTGCACTTGTGGAAAGGATTAGCTACGTGTGCTTGTCCCTACATCTTCATTCCTTCTTCACTCTCGACTCACAGCAATTCATTTGGTTTCTTTGGCATCTACTTCCGTGAAACTGCTCTCTCCAAACTACCAATGTCTTGTCTTTGTTTTTTGCTAAGTTCAATAAGCAGTTTTCCCCCCATCTTTTATGACTTCCCTGCAGCATTCAATATGGTTGGCCACTTCCTCATCTTGAAACCCCTTCTTCATGGCAGTGATGGAGCAGATGCTGGGTGGCTATCTCTCCAGATCCCTGTGGAAGGATTTCTGCATTGGCATGAACTTGGATTCTATGGCTTGTAAAGTCACCCTCAAGCCTAAAGTGATTGAATTCTACTGTTTTAGTTAAAAAGATCTTGAACTGACTTTTGATGCATTTAAGACTCTGAGATTTTGTTTGGCTCTACACACAGATACAGCGGGCTTGTGCCATGTGGTGTGACCTACATGGCAACAAAAATTTCACTTGTCCCAAAATATCATCCCTTTTGCTGCTCCTAGATATGAAATTCTTATCATGCATTTACTCCATTTTGTCTTTTTTTTCCCCCTCAAACGACTATAAATTTCTATGAGCTAGCAAATATATCAATCTTGTTACTTTTGGCATTGAGCAGATGTTCATGCTTTGGGGCATATTTCTGATTTTTGGATTTGGTTATATTCAAATGCAACAGGCAACAGAGCAACAGGAAGGCAAGGATTCATTAGCAGGACCTTTTCTTGGGCACTTTTGCTTCATCTAAACTTTGTCCCCCACAGGAGTGATTACCTATGCAATAGGCATTGCTTGGGCTGCACAGGACGAGCTGGATATCATCGCCAGTTACCCTGCCAAGGACCACGCCTTCTTTGTGGACGAGTTTGACAACCTCTACAAATTTGTCCCCAAGGTCATCCAGAACATTTGTACAGAGTTCAACTCACAGCCTCGGAACTGAATTCAGAGCTGGCAAAGCACCAGCAAATGCCGCTTTCCCGACTGGCTCTGGGACACCCTGTGCTCTATGGGGCAGCAAGGCACATGGGGCTTGGGAAACGATGGGCCGTTATTATTCCTTGCCAGTGTGGTGTTTCATACTTTAAAACTTGCAGTTAGAAAGATGATCATAAATCTGTAGAATGAGCCAAAATGATACATCCTTCTGAGGGTGCTGGGGATTTTAGATTTTGACAATTGTGTTCAAAATAACTATTCAGAATAGAGTACAACATTTATGACAGGCTTAACCAAAGCTTTTGTGAGGTTATTTTATTTTTTATTTCTCATTAGAACTCTGTAACTCTCAACAAGTTTCATTTTTGTCATGACAACATAGGAGTTGCTTAATTAAATATTTAAAAGAACATCATGTGATCATTCTGACGGTGTCATGAGTAGTGTTCACAAGATTTGTGGCAGGGCCACCATCCTCTGCTCTTCTTGTTCCCCAGAGCACTTGCTGTGCACTCACTCCTAGTCCAAGGTGACAACACATCCACGGAGGTACAGAGAAAATGTGGCGGCAGCATGGCTTCTCCTGATTTACCTCCTTCTCTATTATCTGAATCACTGTGTTCCTGCAACCTCTAGCTTTAGAAACAGGTGGGAAATGACCCGGGAGAACCAAGTTGATTTAAAATTGGTGCATTAGGCTAGTACAGACACTCTCAGCTCAAGCTGCACATTAGAATCACTTGGAGACCAAAACACTTGTTCTCTGGCCCCATCTCAATACCAGCAAAATCTGAGTCTCTGGGAAGGGAGCCTGACGTTGGCCTGTTTGAAGAGCTCTCCGGTGATGTTGAAATGCTGCCAGGACTGACAACCACCAAGCTACCTCTGAGCAGGCACTGTTATAGCTATTTCCTGGGAGAGCCCTATTTATACCTGTTGTTCAGGATCCCATTCAGTTTGGCATTTTTCCTGGATTTTTCATTTGTTAACTAGCTATTACTATTAATAGTTGCATTAAAATGAGCTGGGATCAATTTGGTCAAATTCCATTTTTTATTTCTAGCTTCTGCCAAGAACTCATGTGCAACAGGGAAACCTTTAAAAGAATCATAAATAGAGATGATTACTTGACAAGTTATGTTTTGTAAAAATGAGTGTTGAACAATGCTACTCTGAATGGAGGCAAAATGATAGTACCTGTGTCAATACAAAAAAATATTTACATAAAAAATTTTGCATTGAAGATATTCATTTAGCACAATTTTTATAGAGCTTACCAAATCTCTAGTACTTGGAGAGGGAACATATCATCAATTGAAAATGTTGTTGTCTACAGAAAAGAATTAATTTAACGTGTCAGCAATTTCAATTTTATTAACTATTCATTTTACTTTGAAGGCAAGGCAACTGCAAACAAATATGTTCAAAAACTTCGAAATACAGAAACTATTTTCAAAAAGGAAATTCTTCATAAGGATACCAGCAACACACTATTAGTGACAGATTCAGCTAAGAAACTAATTAAAGAACTTCAATAAGTAGTAGCAACAATTATTCTGCCTATATTTTTGAATATGTAGATAATTGATATAAAGTTTTTTTCAATGTTGCTTCAATGTACACACACGTTATTTTAATTTTTTTAAAGAATAATTTTTTTTGAAAATAGTTTTGAAATATAATTATTTTGCAGGGGGCTTAATATAAAATCGATCCGTCATTAATAAGTAAATATTTCCCAAAATAATATTATTTCGGTATCCTCTTTCATTACAAAATTGTCCCAGTTTGGAAAATAAATTATATGGTCACCCTAGTTATAGATATTATAATTTTGAAGCTAAATGAAACCTTCTCAAACGGGCCCATTGTCTATATGCTGTCAATAAATATTTGAGTGTGGAGGTAAGCGAGATGACTGAGGTGCTCAGAGGCTATGGTATTATCAAAATTTTCTATCATCTTCACATCACCAAAGATAGTGACAGAACTCAGGATAGAGAGAAATAGTGATCCAAGCTCTGGGATGTTCGGCAGATGAGAGAAGGTAACTGCGAGGTTGGGAGAAGGCAGCAGTGACAGGGATGGAAGGCCGCGGCTAGACCTTCAAGGGAGCGGGCGCTTCGAGGGAGAAAGAAAGGGAGGTGGGAAGAGCAATGGGGGTGAAGAGCAGAAGTATCCCATTCCAGGCCTGAAACCCATGGAGTGAGGGAGCACAAGCAGCCTCCACGTGAGAAGCTGCAGAAGACAACCAGCTTTCAGGTAAATGGACGCAAGAAGGGATGGGGGCTTTGGGGAGCTCGCGGACAACTGAGAGCAGCTCCCTACAATGCAGTGGGAAGGCTGGGGTGGGAGTGGAATTGGATGAGGTCAGAGTTTGCACCAAGCAGTTTGGGTGACATGGAAGACTTAGACGTAAACACTACCTTGCTTAACCTAAACTGTGACCAATACTGTTGAGCAGCACTAAAATCATACACTAGAAACAGAACCTTAGAGACAATTCATGCCAAACCCTCCAATGGCAAAAAAGAAACCCAGACCAGAAGAAGATTGTGCAGATGTGAAGGAACAGAACCAGAATTCAGATCTTCTGTCTTCCAATCTACTGACTCACTTGACTGCTTTCTTGGGGTGCGGGTGGTGGGGTCAGAACCCCCAGCCCCAACCCCAGACCTACCCAACACACACAACTGGCTCCGTACACTCCTGGGCTCTGGTCTAGCCTTTGCAGAGCTCTCTGGGCCCTGCAGACTTGGAGCCAATCTCTTCCTAAGGTGGTCTCAGCACAAAAGCTCTTCCATACTCTTTCTCCTCTAAGTCCACCAAAACAAGCAGACAAAGGAGCATCAGGCCAGCTTCTCTGAGTGCATATGATGTCTAAACTCCACTCAACTTAATTATCTCACCTCTCAGGAGTTAGAGCCCTTTGAAAGAAGTTGCTTCACTAAAACTTTTGCAACAAGGCTCTGCTAAAAATTTTCAACCATACTGACAGGTTCAGATAGTTCTTGTTCTCTGGGTTCTTTAAACCCTTTTGAACAAGACAAAAGCTCCATGAAGCAAGTTTTCCTGCAGAAGTCTCAGGGGACTGGCATGGGTGTACAAAGAAGACAATGCTTGTGTGTCCAGGAATTTTCAGCCTCAAAAAGGAGTTTCAGAGTAATAATGTTGTTTTCCAGTCACAATCGTAAGAAAAGTTCTCCCCTTAGATTACCAACACACAAATGCAGTAAGTAGGAAATATGCTTAAAAGCATGAATTCAATTATTTTTTGAAGGAGACATTTATTCAACTAATGCCTTTGAGGAATTCACGGTTCAGTAGGAAATCACACACAAGTGAACAATTAAAATCATATAATTAATATCATGGGATTATGCACAAAGTGCATGACTGGTGATTGCAAACAATCTCATGAGAAATCAAATTGTAATAGTGCCTAACAGTGAGTGTTTGCTACACACTAGGCACTGTTCTAAGGGCTTCACATGTGTTAACTCACTTATCTTACCTCTATGATTTGCTGAGAGAGGTACCATTATTATTCACATTCTCCAGATCATGCAGCCAGGGCATGAGATGTCAAGGAACTTGCCCAAGGTCATAAAGCTGGTAGAGGCAGATCTGGGAATTAAACCCAGGCAATCTGACTCCAGATCTATGTACTTAACCACTTTACTTCTTAAAATAGTAACATAAAATAACCAAAGTGGCTGCATAGGGTGTTTGCTAGTAAACTTGACAACTTAAAATGTATGTATAATTCTACAAAGTGCACTCTCAAGATCTATTAAGTGTATAAAGTGAAGAGTCTATTAAATGTCCAATGCAAACTGCACTTTCCCCCTTCATTCATCTTGGTCCTCTGAACAGCCATCCTGCCTTCACTTAGGGTGGATGATTTTAACCTATAGTTTATTGTCCTTTTAGCTCCCTAAACACATTAGGCTCTTCATCACATTGCTAAACTCCTATTCATCCTTCGAGTTTCAGTTCAAATGCCTCCTCTTCTTTGGAGCCCTCTCTGACTTACTCAGCTAGACTTAGGCCCTCTGGTTACAGAATCATGACCTACCTATTTTCCAGCAATCTTTTTAGTCTGTTCTCAATAAGAGACACAATCCACACATGTCATCAGGGACACAGAATACAGGGAATGAGAATTAAGTCTAGTTCTGGCTACATCTAAGTCATCTGACAGTGCTAACCCCTAACACAATGGCACTGGTAGAATGGGAGTCAGAGATATTTCAGGAAGAGGGAAAATAGAGGATCAATCTCCATCCAGACTGTACCACTCTTTCAAATATCCTTATGTGGTTCATTAACGTATGTTATAATCACTGTTTTTCTAGGACTAGAATCCTCTTCAAGTATCTACCTACAGGGTTATTCTGTTCCTCACTTTCTGCTCTCATTTTTCCTACAGAAATGAAAGTCTTATTTTCTGTTTAACCTCAATGAGATTCAATCAACAAACGTGTTTTAAGCACTATTATTATGTACCAGGCACTGTGATAGGCACTGAGGAATACCTGGTCCCTGCCCAAGGAGCTTAGAGGCCAGTGTGAGACACACATAAACAGATAACATCTGACTGATGTGACAGGCAAGCTTGAGAAGGCTTGCTGGGCTTGCTTTTGCCTATGTTAGCCAGATGAAGAAAGATGGAAAAGGTATCCCAGCAGAGGGAATGACAAAAGCAAAGGCAAGGAGTCATGAAACAGTGTGACACACAGAGAGAATGACAGCATGAAACTCAAGACAGGGGTGCCAGGAAATGAAGCTGGAGAGGCAGAGACCAGGTCATGGAAGGCTGTGTTAGTTAAAGTTCTCTCGGTTGCAAGTAACAGAAACTCAATTCACAGTAGCTCAAGCAAAGAAGGAATTTTTGGATGGCAACTAGAATAACTCATGAACTCCAAGGTCAGGGAGATCGTCTCAGAAACGGAAAGGTCAGGAGAACCACATAGCCCTCTCACTCTACTCTCCTCGAGAATGATCTTCATTTGGAAATTGTTGAATAACCCTGCGGAGGGAACAGAGTAAAACTTCCCCTTCCAGAAAAGATTGACCCCATGATGCAGCCTTCTTCAGGAGGGACACCAACAAACCACATCATTCTACCTGATCACCTCACAATTAATAACCTTTCGAAATTCCTTCAAGCACTAGGTTGTCTTGAATGCTGACAAATGCATGTCCACAAGTACCTAGGTCTGGAAAACCAAATGAAGGCTGAAAGTAGTCTTCCTCTATTTCACTTAGAAGCTTTACCCAAGAAAACCAGTGGCTGTCTCTCTAAGACTCCCTTTCACTCCTTTTGACTTCAAGGCTACAAGATGTTACTAGTTTGTAGGCCATTGAAAACTGTTCAGACTGTCAAAAAGGCAGAGGTGCCGATTCTGGGATCC